TAATTATGAACGTGAACTACTTCTGGAGTCTCCAATATGTACTCAAAATTAATTCGAATCCCTTGGATTACACTGCACCCAGTGATCGCAGAAATTAATATAAAGAGGGCGAGAGTGAACGAAATCTGACGACTTAGCTGGGCAGTCCAAACTTGGGTATTTGGAGATATTAACCCCTGATGAGCATCAGTTTCCCCCATATGATATTTAAGCCAAAAAACTAAATCCGTTATTCATCCGTTTGGATTATACACGTTATATCGGCCTACATAACATTATCGATAAGTACGTTTCTCTACGGAAATTCCCAAGAGTGATTTATTCCTAATACTCCAACATCTCAACCTGCATATCTACTGATTGGACATCGAAAGCTGTGTATTAACAAATTTAAAGAATGTATGATGCAGTCGAATCCTTTTAACCTTATCTCCCTGCCTTATCCAAGCTACTTCGGAAATGCTCATTAATTTTCGTATTCTTTCTCTCTCATTATTTTGTTGATTATCCAGTGAACGGTTGGGGAATTTTCTTTTTTTAACATTATTTAACTATTCAATGTAATTTTTAACAACAGAGTTGAAAGGAAATGGGTGTACCCACTTCCCTTCTATTTAGGTTCAAATCTATTCATTTAAATACATGTGCATAATTGTCCGTTTGTTTTCTGTGTAGACAAAAAAAGTGTTATTAATATCGATAAAACAATTTATGACTTCTAAGTGACCTCCGAAAGAAACTCATCTGACATGGGTCATATGGAGCGCAAACACGGTTTAAAATGATTAGTTACGGTACAGAATGTGATCGTCTTAGTGATTCACTGTGTGTTTAGTATGAAGCGCCGCTTGGGCAATAAATCATATCCAAAATAGATATCAACATTTTCTTTCCCCCTCTCTCTCTCTCATTTTATTCTTGTAAGCGGTGATGCGGTGGTGGGTTCGTTGTACGAACATCATTTTTGTGGTCGACGGAAGATTCTCCGTGACTTGAGAAAGGTGGAGGGGAAAATGAAAAACAGGAGCTGGGATAAAAAAGGAAAAAAGTAGAGAGAAGTCTATGTTTGCTTAGGCTATCGATGCAAATATTTATTGTACTTTACGATCAGGTTTTGAGCTATAAATCATCAAGATCTAGTCCTCGACGTAGTGTAAACAGTATGGCTAAGTAACCCTTGGCCATGCCTGGTGTCTTCTACTCACTCTCTACCTCACCCTGTATTCTCTGTCTCTGACGTCTTCTTTTCTCTTTAGACTTTGCTTGGCTTGAATGCCTAATATGACTAATGTGTTTAGAAAAACATGCTGGATAAATGTTTTGCACTCGTTTGGCTAGAAGGGTAGGTGAACTATGATGAAGTCGTGGAATATTCCTGTCGTATTTTATACCAGGAAATTAGAAAGTGATCTGAATTGGAAGTGAATGCATACCTGCGTGGAAGCTGTAGTCTGCGCAATGTAGTTGTTGAAGTTAAAATGGAAATTCGATTATTTATTATAAGGGCCACACTCTTGTGTCATTTTAGCCCCGTGAAGGATTTTTGTTTAATGTCTACGTTTATTTATGATATTGAATAAATATATCAAAAGGTAATGGAGCGATTCTACCATGTCTTTTCCTCACACTACTGTCTCATTAATTTATTTGAATTAAAAGGAAGGTTCATAGCTTAGAAGCAATATCGATGAACCAGTTAGAATGATCTGTTGTTAAATATGTTCATCGAATTACCTTCCATTTAAATTCAATGAGCAAGTAAGATTACAAACAAGGCACAGTAATCTAATAATTGTAATGAGAATAATCCATTTCATAATCATTCATAGAATAATATAAAGAACATCCTAGTTCCTCGCGTTATCAAGAGCACAACGATTGCTTCGAGGTTGCAATGCAATCCTAAGACAGGGAAGTACAGACCGGCGAAACCTTTCATCGGGTTCATTTTATCCTGCGCTAAAACAATGTTTAGAAACAATAGATTCGGGTCCTAAATCCTAAATAAACGAATGGTACCCCTACAAGATCATTTGACAAATCTGCAAACACTCATCAACAACGACTTATCCAGAGTAATTGAGCAAGATTCGCCGTTTCATCTGACAAATCACCCCAGTCTTTCTCATTTGAAAGCGTTATCGAATGAGAACGAAGGACTCTTTTCTCCCTTCATTGTCAGCTGTGTAATGTACTATTACCTAATTGGCACAGTGTTATCTAGTGGTAATCTTTCGTAAGAGAAAGGGCGGGAAATGTTCGTAAGACTTCTCTCAAAGACATAGTGATGCGCATCGCTGTCTGTCGTCGGCCCATCCTTCTGTTCGCAGTAGATCGGGCGAAGCGACGCGCGGCTCGTTTAGGAGGGTGTATTAATGTCCCAGAGTTTTCCTTTGCCCAAAGGCGTATGGACAGAGAGTACGAATGACACCAAAGACAAGCAAAGAAACGCGCTAGAATGAGTAAGTGACGATGATATATCGTCTGTTACTGTACTTTTAAGCTTGGCTCCTAGAAAACGTGCAAACAACTTTGTTTTATATTGTATTGCATCATCTGCTGTGACTTTCATGAGATTCAGCCTCAAATGAATAATCGGATCTTTCATAATTATACACTATAGATCAGGCCATAAAAAAGTTGTCTGCAGTTTTCTTAAGAAAGTATCGAGTTTTTTCCTTTACCTGGCTTCATTTAAAGTTTCCTCTTTTCATTCGGTGTTGGTATGGATTTTCCAGGGTATCACCGGTATCACAGTTTACCTTACAGGTGTTTATCCCCGGGGATTTCCCGTAATCTTACCTCATCCTTCACGTTCCCTGACACACGCTTTACCCACTCCAAAGCCAGCAAGAAGGCGCGAATCGCACTAGCACAAAATCAATTTATGATGCACATCAGGATTAAGTGCGTAGATCGCCCGTTCGCGCGTTCGCCTTTCACCAGTAATCCATCACGCAAAACGACCCGCGCGGGTGCAGAAACCTGCGATTCCCGTAGGTAATGTTTCCACATGACACGCACCGTGCGCGTACGCGCATCGTCGTCTGCGAGCGAGCTATCAAATCAGGGAACGTACTTAAGTCAGGTGATCAATCAGGATTTTGTCTTGCGTAAGCCGGGCAATCAATTTGCGAAACAACAAAACAATGGGTTGGGGGAAAAAATGTTTGTATACACCGTACTGGAGCTTTCATGCAAGGTCAATGATGTAGTCACTATTTCACAAGACCCAGAGCATCATTTCTTTTGTGTGTGTTTTTTTTATTAATCAGCTGTAACTTTGATGAATGACCTTGAAAAGCTCTTCTTTTTTCTTTTTCTTTTTTTAAATATTCTCCACATTGTAACAGACTTCCTACTTTGCTTTTTTTAATTAAAAAAAAATAATTTAGATCCCAAAATCACAAATAAAAGAAGAGGGAGAAGAAGAAGAAGAAAAGTATACGGCTATATAACCACATGTGCTTTGTGCTTATCTTAGTAGTAACTTTGTGACGTTGATATAAAAATAAATATTTCCTCTATTTGAAGCATCTTAAGTAGTCCACCCTTTAACACACTAGAAAAAAAAACACCGTCTACAGATCCTTGAGGATACAAAGGGCTGCCAGGGTATAGATTCTTGCTTTGGAAACTGATATTTTAATGCATCTAAAGGCTTGGCCATGTCGAGAAAAGTCATTCCTAGGCGACATCAGGACGTGTCCAGTACAAACATCTTGCGGACTATCACTTCCAATAATTCGTGGCTTTCCATGTGATCAAATATCAAAAAGAAAATCGATCTTTTCCTTCTCTAATGGAAGCATGTCTTGATTTCCCATCTAAACTTCCCGTACTATTGCTACGTCTCTCTTTCTTTCTCTATCTCTCTCTCTCTCTCTCTGTCTGACTCACTCTCTCTCACTTTCTTTCTAGTTTACATGCTCTCTCATTCCATTTCTCTTGTCTTACACGCTTTCAATTAATTTGTTTCTCTTTCTCTCTCTCTTTCTTTCTCTCTTTCTCTCTTTTCTACTTTCTCCCTCCCTTCTTCTCATTCTTTGCACTCTATCTGTTGTTATCTTTTCGCTTTTGTCTCTTTCCCTCAATCCTATATCACTTACATGTTTTATTAATATCTCACTCTCTCTCTCTCTCTCTCTCTCCATGTCTCTTCCTCTCACTGTCATTGTCACTCTCCTATCTCTGCCTTTCCATGCTCATTTGATCATTGATGTCGATGCCTCTCTCTCTCTCTCTCTCTCTCTCTCTCTCTCTCTCTCTCTGTCTCTCTCTGCCTGTCCCTTTCTATTAATTGTATTTCTCTAGACAAAAAGGTCTAACATGTCGTGTTTCGTACCCGACTCACTGACGTCTTGTTGCATGTATTTACGTAATATCCAATCACATTTGGCAGCGTGTCGATTGCCAGTCCAAATATTTTTGGATAAATCCGGAAACCTTGAGGGTGAAAATTGAAATTCTAGTCGTATTCCCAAAGACAAATCTTCGTTTAGTATTCTTCTCTTTTTTATGTTTTTTTTTTTAAATCCATTACTTCCGGCCTATAGAGAAATTACACCTCTGTAGTTAGAATGAAATGCCATAAACATGACAACATGATGATAAAAATACTTTTCATCCATCATTTTCATTTATTTTTCTAAATGAACAGAAAGAGAGAAATTTCCACAATTCAAGTTTTTATTTATTGTCAGTCACATATACTAACATAGATAAAAACATGTTTTGTATTTGATAACTTAGGTAACTTTGATGTGATGACTTATGAATGTCATGTTATTAAATAACCGAAGTTCGTTTCCCTTGACCTTCTTGCACTTGAACACATCTCAATTTAAAAGCCATCAACGTTGTAATTGTAATGTACCACTCATTGTCATTGGATATTCCATGACACTCAAATATTTCTATTTTATTTATGTATTTACTCAATTAGCTATTGATTAATTAACGATTTCGATCTTATTTCTTCCATTGTTCTTTGTCTACAGGTCAACTTCTCTGAGCAAAGCCTCGGACAGACGACACTCGTCAAGGACATTCCTCCTCGAGATGACGCCGCCCCTGGATCGGGGATGAGTCTACCCCCAACACCAGACTCCTCGGATCGGATGCATTCCTCACATCTCGATTTAGAACCCCTTAGTGCCAGCGACTAAGTCCATCGAACAAGCAAATTAATAAGAAGATCCACAACAGCGAACGAGAACCGTCTGCTAAAAACTTTGAGTGATCTTAGCACTTGACGAGTGGGTCTTGCTTTCCGAGGGTCGAATTTTGCCAGCCGTGTTTTACTATGGACGTGACAGGAGTTAACACGAATGCTAGACGTTATCAATATCATCGCTATTCTACAAGGAATTATACATACTTTCTCGCCTCACTTTTGTACGATTTGGAATCTTCATTTGGTGTCTCTTATTGTGCACTCTGTCGTGAAATTGTGGACGTAAATGTGGTATATTTATTATATAAATGTGGACAGTTAGCTTGTGTATGATAGATGATGATGATGGACTCACGCAATTTCGGGTGCTGTAATAAAGAAACAAAAACTGACAATAACAGTTTTAACGCATTGATAAAATATCAGCTGAACTCTGTATTCAAAATGACGGGAAAACCTGCACACGAAGTTTTTGTGCGTGTCGGCAATTTTGTTGTAGCTTTGACAGTCTTTAAAAACACCATTACGAGGTAGAAGAGCAGGAAAGAAAGAGACATTGCTTCAACAACTTTGGACCGCCAGAAATTCACTTTGGAAATACTAAGAGCTACACCAAGTTGTCATTTTGACGTTGTGCCACTGCGAGCTCCTATACGTTTAAAAGTTTAAAGATTTAAATCCATTGTAATGACTTTTATAATATAAGAATATATATCTGGATACTTCGAAACATGGATTGTAACCTATATACGGGTCACAAATGTAACTTGGAGGACTTAGTATCATAAAAACAGTGCAACTCTGATCATTGATAGTGAAGGATAATGTATTTTTTGTTTTTTGAATAGCTTATCAGATAGTTATTTTGTTTATAAATAATATTGTCTGAACTACACACTATGCAGTCTGCTTGCAAATTTATTGCCATAAGATTAATGCCACTGCCAAAAGGTTTGTTGGATGAAACTAGTACTTCTTATTCGACTCCTTCTTCTTTTCTTCCTACTGAAAGGTGAAGTTACAAGTTATTTATCATAACTTGTCCAATGGTCCAAATGTTATCATCGCCCCAAAACGCACACTAGCAGTGTCCTAGTACGACCACAATGATTCGACGGAAAAGTATACTTATGATGACAAACAATTACAAAAAAAAAATACATAGGTCCATCCCCTCTGTTGTAAAATCCATCCGTTAAGTATCACAAGCGCACTCATTTCAGTGCAGAATCTCCATTTTAACATATTCATAAATCCTCAAACGTTGCACTTAAAATATTGTTAAATAGGGCATCCCCCGAATTAGTTTTTGTGTTGTATCCTCGCGCTCTCTAAACATTATTCCGGCAAAATGACCTCCGTCTTATTTTCCAGGGACTAAAAAGCCATCATTACTTGTGTAAATTAAACACGGGATTGTGCTGCTCTGTGTATTTTTCCCATCTTGGGGAATCTAAGAAATAAATGCACGGTGTATTTATTCGCATCATCCATTCTCTGTATACGATGGATATTATCTCGATTGCGGAATAAGCCGGGACTGTTTGAAGTTTCTCATACGTGCTATCTCGCTGCTCCCCGGGGAAGGTCATTTGAATATTGTGGGGAAGAGAAAACTAGAAGTGTATTTTGCCTCCAAAATTCCTCTTCATGAAAATTCATGATGGGAAAAGCCCCTTTTCTAAGTTCCAGTTTTCCCCCGAGCCCCTTCACCAAAATCTACACGCACACTGTATGGATTTACGATGGCAAGTAAAGAAAGGAGGAGAAGAGAGGGGCAGGTAGAAAAAAATGATAGAGCGGGGAGATGAGAGGGGTTGAGGCTCTTAAGAGGGTAGCAGTTATGTGGCCTGAGGCTCACAAAGAGTTATGAATGGTTAATGCTGATCGTACAGATGCAACATTATAATTATTCTCGGATAAAAGGTGCAAGGAGGGGGAGGGGGATTCGATATGACATCATCATGGGGGGAGCCATTCTTTCTTTATACTAATGCAAGCCTTTGTAAATGCTAGAACTACAATACCTCAAACACCATTTCCATATTTCTGTCCCGTGGTGAGTTATATGAGATGATATGTTTAGGCGCGAGAGTACCCAATTTCTTTTGCCATGGGGGTATTTGAATTTTTGTTCTTTCGACCTTAACTCGACAAGAGGATGCATAATAGTATGCTCTATACCTGTTAAAAGTGCGTGAATTTTCCGGCCATTTGTCTTTCTTATCGGCAACGTATTCTGTACTTGTATTCATTGATATTACTTGAGTAAATGATTACGAAATAATAACGAGACTATCATTTAATGCCAGTGCTAATGTTCCACAATGCTATGAATTTACTTTGACTAAATCAACTATTTCAAAATATTGCAACCGCTGCATATTTATTTGTAATTACGGTCTGAAACATATATAGTTTTCCCTAGCCAAAGGATAATGTGACGTATCATAAAATAATGTTATTCCGACGAGTATGGTTACAATGTTGTCCTTAAATGAAAAGGGAAATTGAAGCAAATTGAAGAAAAACATCAAAAATGTAAGATGTAGGATGAGAAGATATAGCTAAAAGTAAGTAAAGATGTACATGTACATAGTTTCTCTAGTATTCACTGCGTAGATGACTACTATCATATCGTACATTTTTTCGAGCATTTATTAATTTCAAAGCTCATTCATATAACAGTCTTAAATTTCGTTCCGAATTGAAATCAATATTATGGTAAGAGAACGCATGGGAAGATCTGAAGTAGCTTCCTAGTATCAAAATCCATTTATGTTATTTATTTTTTGCGAATATAATGAGAGTGTTCCCAATGCCGCATACTTTCCCTAACTAGATAGCTCTGTGTGGTCTCAACCCCTGCGTCATGTGCGTGAGTCACCCGTGATCACGCCAGCTCGCAGCATACAGCACGTACATTGATTGAAATGGACAAAAGTTGCGGTAGTGGGAACGTCTCATCCGATGTAATAATATTATTATGCCCGGGCATCATGTGCATTATAAGTGTTGTGTATATTATGTATGTTTTATCTATTAACGTTTCGAGCAACCATGTGGTTTGACTATATGATATATTATATATATAACGAGGAAATAAAGTCGAATTCTTTTCGTTGAAAAGATGCTGAAAAATGAAAATGCCGCCGTGAGAGTATTTTGTGTGCAGTAAAATTGCATAGATTTTGGTATTATTGAGATGGGGAAGAGATATGAATGACTAAAATAAACAAGATGAAGATTGTTATAACAAAATGGTGTTGGTGGGCGAGGTGATGATGAAGAGAACGATGACGTTCACGTTTGTTATTTCAAGAGGAATGGCTATGATGAGATGATGATGTTGATGATGGTGGTGGTGAAGATGGTGATAAATGAAATGATGCTTGTGGTGGTGGCGGTTAGGGTGATGATGACGATTATGGTAGTGAAGGTGGTGGTGGTGATGGTGGTGGCGGCGGTGGAGGCGATGGTGATTTTGAGATGGCGATGATTATGATGATAATGATGACGGTAGTGGTGTTGATGATGATGAGATGATGATAATATTGATGATGTTGATGATGGTAGTGGTGATGATGATGATGATGATGATGATGATAACGACGATGATGATGATGATGATGATAATGGTTGTGATGGTGTTGTGATGGTGGTGGCGATTAAATGTGATAAGATCGGTGGTGTTAATGGTGATGGGGATTGGGGATGGTTGTGATGACGGTAGTGGAGATGTTGATGTTGGTGTTGATGATGATGATGATGATGATGGTGGTGGTGGTGGTGATGATGATGATGATGATGATGATGATGGTGGTGGTGGTGGTGGTGGTGTGAATGATAAGGATGAGAGGCACAACTAGTTTGCAAAATATGCAAGAGACGATGCATACATTGACTTAAAGGTAAAGACCAGTTATGGTCATGCGATTGCATTGTGAAAGAAACGCTGTGGAATCGATCAGAAAAGGTTGATCATCTAGCATCTAGCATGTGCAAGGTTCTGAAATCATCAAAATGATAAGAAATTTGGCCCATTCTTCGTAAAGTTACAAGCACTATACACAGAAAGATGTATATGGGATTACCCTATATCTCTCACAGACCATGAGAGAAACAAATTTACCAAATATATGAATTAATAGGCGGTTTCCCGGCAAATTTGTTATCATCATGTATTAGTCAAAACATATTCTTTCACATGATTGGTAATGAGGGCTTCCATTTCATTTTTTGAAATTGGGGCGTTACCAATACTGGTCTTTACATTTAACACTAGTTTACAAGTTTTATTGATATCCATTGATCCTTTCGGAAAATGATAGGAAATATGACAGCGTTTCATAGAGAGGGATTACATATCAATTTTGTGCGCGTTAATAGTACGTTCGTGATCCCAGGTCTAGCAAGAATGCTCTAACTAGTTTATTAAAAAAGAATAATATAATCTGAAATAAAAGTGAATATCAATACAAGCTTGCTGCTGGTAAAATCAATTTGTATTCATGAATTGCAAAATACGCCCCAAAGACACGGATCTAAACAAAGAAGACTGAATATTTAGCTCTCTCTTCTTCTCTCTGTCCCTCTCATCCTCTTTCTCTCTATATCTCTATATCTCTCTATATATCTGTCTCTGTCTCTCTCTCTCTCTCTCTCTCTCTCTCTCTGTGTCCCTGTCTCTCTCTCTGTCTGTCTCTCTATTTATCTTTCTCCCTCTCTCTCTCTCTCTCTCTCTCTCTCTCTGTGTCCCTGTCTCTCTCTCTGTCTGTCTCTCTATTTATCTTTCTCCCCCTCTCTCTCTCTCTCTCTCTCTCTCTCTCTCTCTCTCTGTGTCCCTGTCTCTCTCTCTGTCTGTCTCTCTATTTATCTTTCTCCCTCTCTCCTTCTCTCTCTCCCTCTCTCTCTCTCTCTCTCTCTCTCTCTCTCTCTCTCTCTACCATACTGTATATCTTTCCATCTATCTACCTCTCCCTTCCTCTCACATCCTTTCCCCTTCTCTTCGTCTCTTTCACGGTCTCCTGACACACAATCTGCACTCTCATTTCTCTTATTCTCTCACAATTCCATTTCAGTACACTATTTGCCCCGTGGGTGCATTTTCCGTTAGAAGATAAGTATTTTATGGTATTAACAACTCTCGTATCGCTTCTTCTTAGTATTCATCCTTATTGAATAAAAGTGATATACTCTTCTCCAACAATGGATAA